TTAAATAGCTTTAAAGCAGGAATAAAAGAAAGTCAAGTCCACTTGAAAGGGAGCCAGGAGGGCAACTTGAGACATCAAGTGCACAGTTTGACCTTTGACTTAGGGTTATATATGTTGGCATCCTTCCAGGAGCTTATGTCCCTTCACCCCTGATTCTTCCCTTGGGGTGGGCTGTCTGCATGCACAGGGGCCTGCTAGTTCTGGGGAGGGGCTGCATGCAGTGTGTTTACTGCTGTTGTACACATGCTCCCTTAAACTATTCTTCCGTTACCAGTGAGTGTTCTTACAAGGTTATAAACCAGTTAAACTCTGCCATTTTCCCTCTTAGTGCCTATGCATGAGCCCACTTGCCCAATTCCTGAGATCTGATTAGTTTCAACTTTTTCTATTTCTTGGGAGACTGTTTTCCCTGGCATGGGCTGCGACCAATTATTGTTTTAGAGAGACAGCTTAACAACTGCCTATCAGCTGATGGTTGCCTGACATTCCTGGTGGAGAGGGGGGCCCTTTCCTGCCCTGCTCATGTCTATCTACTATAACATAGCATTTTAAAGGCAGTGGTAAGGCAGTGTGCAGTAGCTCACACCTGTAATCCCAGCACTTTGGGAGGCCGAGGCAGGAGAATCATTTGAGCCCAGGAGTTCAAGAACAGCCTGGGCAACAAAGTTGGACCCCAACTCTACAAGAAATCAGAAAATTAGCCACATATGGTGGCACACAACTGTACTTCCAGCCACCTAGAAGGCTGAGGTGGTAGGATCCCTTGAGACCAGAAGACTGAGGCTGCGGTGAGCCATGATTGTGCCACTACACTCCAGTCTGGACAACACAGCAAGACCCTGTCTCAAAAACCAAACCAAAACCAAACAAAAATGTCAAGGGTAAATTTTACAAAAGCAGAAGCTACAAGGAACATTGTAAATCAATGCATACAGGTTCCACATTGGTTTTGATCTAAAAGGATGGGAATCCTGAATCAGGGGCTTACAGGTTATAGATAGATTCAAAGATTTTCCTGGCCAAATGTGGTGGGTCATGCCTGAAATCCCAGCACTTTGGGAGGCCAAGATGAGAGGAACCCTTAAGGTCAAGCATTTGAGAAACATAACAAAGAGCCTGGGAAACATAACAAGAGCCTGTATATACATACAATTTTTTTTTTAAACTGGAGGTTAAGGCAGCCTCTAATTAGAGGATTGCTTGAGCCCAGGAGGTTAAGCTGTAGTGAGCTATGATTGCAACTGCCTTCTGGCCTGGGTAACTGAGCAAAAGCCTGTCTCAATTAAAAAAAAAAAAAAAGAAGAATCTAATTTGCAATTGGTTAAAGAAGAGAGGCTTTCTTTAAAAATTTGGGGTCCAATAGAAAAATATTAACTGGCTAGGGGTGTGACTTTCTCCAGGCCCCTAAGGAAGAAATTTAGACCAAAGAATGATGGTTAAACTTTAGTCATCACTTTCCTGTCCTCTGAGGTCTATGCCAGCAGATCCATTTGGTGGGCGTCCGAGTTTCTGAGAGACAACTCAGAGACATATAAGTTAAGATGTTATCCCTAGTTTCTATGAAAAAAAACAGACCTATCTGGAGCTCTAGCTTCCTTGGTTGGCTGTTGTCTTAGGCTGCGATTAACTTCTTGCCTATCAAGTTGCTTATTTATTTGTCAGAGCTAGCCGGGTACCTAGAATTTTCCTTGAAGAAACTCAAGATTTTGCTTTATTTCCATCCTTGGGAATCCACAGGCCCCTAAAAAGGGAGTCTTTGCATCATCTCATTTCCACACAGTAAAGCAGCAAATATTTCTTTTCTTTTTTTCTTTTTATTTTTTGAGATGGAGTTTCACTCTTGTCTCCCAGGCTGGAGTGCAATAGCGTGATCTCGGCTCACTGCAACCACTGCCTCTTGAGTTCAAGCCAGTCTCCTGCCTCAGCCTCCTGAGGAACTGAGATTACAGGTGCCTGCCACCATGCCCAGCTAATTTTTGCATTTTTAATAGAGATGGGGTTTCACCATGTTGGCCAGGCTGGTCTCCAACTTCTGACCTCAGGTGATCAACCCACCTCAGCCTCCTGAAGTGCTGGTATTACAGGCGTGAGCCACCATGCCCGGCCAGCAGCAAATATTTCTTATTAATTTTGTTTACTCTTCTGTGGTTCAAATCTCTAAGAAGATTTCTGCGATCACCCCTGCTCCAAGCACTCAAACACTTTATTCTTTTATTCTGTATTCCTGTGCACTCTTATTTGCTCTAATTCAGTATGTAACTGTCATGTATGCTGGAACTATGTCTCTGACCATCCCTATCTTCCTTGGACCTTGTAAGGATTGTGATTGGGCACCTTATATTGGATTTTCTACCAGAGTATCCAAGAGATGATTGTCACATAAAAATGGAATGAAATTGGGGTAAGTGATGTTAGTCCTAAGACCTATGTTAAACCATTTAATCAACAAAGCAGATTCTTTTAGACTGCTTTATTTAATTTTCTGTTGCATTTCCCCTAGAGTCTGTCTAGAAACTATTTTATTGTACACAAATATTACAGCCTCTGGCTGTAGGGAGCTGATAAATAGGAGAAAAGCATAGACATTTCTGGGTGCCAGTAAGAGAAAGAGGATAGAGGGGGTCATGAGAAAAAGGTCCTACTACAGTAATTCAAAAGGTGGAATTAAGATTAGCATTACCTATAAGGATGAGATTAGGATTGTTATCGTTATTATTATTTTCAGATAGAGTCTCACTCTGTCACCCAGGCTGGAGTGTAGTGGTTTTCAGCTCACTGCAACCTCTGTCTCCTGGGTTCAAGTGATTCTCCTGCCCAAGCCTCCTGACTAGCTGGAATTACAGGCATGCACCACCATGCCTGGCTAATTATTTTTTTGTTTTTAGTAGAGACTGGATTTTACCCTGTTAGTCAGGCTGGTCTTGAACTCCTGACCTCAGGATCTGCCCGCCTTGGCCTCCCACAGAGCTGGGATTACAGGCATAAGCCACTATGCCTGGATGATTCGGATTATTAAATGTAAAATAGGGGCTCTACATTAAGATTAGGATATGCTTTAATAATGAGGTCAAGGAGACAATAAGATCAGCACAAGGATGGCTAGGATAAAGATTAGGGTTATAATAGAATTCATGTTGCTGTTCTGTGCTGATGCCAGGGTAAATGTTGAATCAAAATCATTTTACATTGGAACTAGAACTAAAACGAAGATTTTTCTTCTTACTATTTTATCAGCATGTACTCAAAGGGAATTTGGTATTGCTGCCCTTACCAAGGGAAAGCTGGGAGACAGTGTCTGTGGGATTGGAACCCCAGAACCTTTTATATATTCTTTTTGGAGAGTAAGATTCATTCATTTATTCATTTATACATTTATAAAACTAGCTGCCAATTTATGCAAAATTCTGGTCCTTGCCTTCTGGGAGCTTGAAATCTAGTAGGTGAACTAATCCAGAAACACACATACAATGAACTGTAACAAAACTTTTTCTAAAAGTTTTATTGTTCTATTGTTTCTTATTTTCATGAAATGCTTGGAAATATTTTAAAAACTCATATTTTAAGGAAGCAAAACCCCTTTGACTGGGGGATCAAGTTAGATGTAGTTCTAGATTGAAAAGGATTTCCTCAAAGTTTGTTGAGAAGTTGAAGCTTCTCACCTGGGCTCAGGGGGCCTTATTTGTACCAAAAGGCAGGACTTAGAACATGGAATCTAGAGCCAGTTTTCCTGGGTTAAAATCCTGGATTGTACAATTTCAAGCTGCAACATCAATTCTGTGTTTTAGTTTTTGCCTCAGAAAGGATGATATTATCTGCTTCATAGTGTTGTTACAAGGATTAAATGAGTCAATTTGTGTAAATTGCAAATGGTTTCTGACTTGGACCATTTTTTGACTTCATGATGATGCAAAAGAGATGCATTCAGTAGAAATTGTACTTTGAGTACCAATACAACCATTCGGTTTTTCACTTTCAGTACAGTATTTAATAAATTACATGCGATATTTAAAACTTTATTATAAAATAGACTTTGTGTTGAGGATTTTGCTGGACTGTAGGCTTATGTAAGTGTTCTGAGCATGTTTAAGGTAAGCTAGGCCAAGCTCTGATGTTCGGTAGGTTAGGTGTATGAAATGCATATTCAACTTACAATATTTTCAATATATGATAGGTTTATCAGGAGGTAACCTCACCATAAGTCAAGGAGCAGCTGCATTTTAAATGTTACTTGGGTTATCGCAACAATTACATCAATGCTTTATAGTTTTGTAGCAGTATCTATCTCTTTGAGCAAAGTACAGTTTGGATGACCCTGAAGTGTGGGATGTCACATGCAATATCATATTTGGCCAGTAGAGGACACCAAAGTCCACAATGTCGAATTGTGCCAGCCTAAACAAGATATTTTTGTGTCTTTCTGGCCACTCCTTTATCTGTGATTTGTGGGCATTGTAAGAGAAGAAATGAGACTGAAGAGGCTAAGCTTTCTTTGTAAGCCTTAAGCCTAAAATACTGGGATATTTGATTATGGTGTGAAAGCAACGGTGTGTTTTTGAGAGTTGCCTTAGTGAAAATTATGGGGCCTAGATTTTAGTTCTGATGCTGTGGCTGTGTGTTCCTGGGTGAGTTTCTGAACTTATCTGGGCTTTAGCTTTTCCTTTGCTGTTATTTGGGGAATGAACTAGAATGAGAATGCAAAACAGACATATAACCAAGTTGGAAAAACATGAGGGAGAAGCAAAGAAGACATGGTAGGAATGAGAATTGGAGGTGAAAGAATAGTGCGGATATAGCAAGGAAGGGGAATTAGAAATGGAAATGATAAAGGTAGGAACATGAATATGGAGGCGAAGACTTAAAATAGAAAAAAGATAAAATATTATTGATTTCTACAAATTTTCACATAAGGATACCTCCTTTTACTACGTTTCAGACTCTGTCTCTTGCACATGCACACACACACACGCACAACTGCATACATGCACAGACAAGTGACTTTCATCCATTGTCACAGCGTGATGGGTGTGAGGAAGGCAGAGGAGAGGGAACTCAAACTTTCCAGTGAAAGCACATAGAATCTCTTCTCTTTTAAAGCATATTAAGCAACTCTCCCTCAGCTTTGTGTGAGCTCCATTTCCTTTCCCAGCAATCTCCTCAATGCCCTGGTTACCTCCTTGTTCCTCAGGATGTATATGAGAGGGTTAAGTGAAGGAGTGCCCACTGCATAGAAGAGGCCAAAGAACTTGCCCTTCTCTTGGGCATAGGGATTTTTGGGCTGGAGGTAGACAGCAATGACTGAGCTGTAGAAGAGGGTGACCACAGTGAGATGGGAAGAGCAGGTCCCAAAAGCTTTCCTCTGCCCTTTTGCAGAGTTAATCCTCAGCACTGCCCGAGCAATGGCTCCATAAGAGACAAGGATGAGGCTGAGAGGCACAACCAAGATGAAGACACTGGCAACAGACATCTGGATCTCGTTGTAGGAGGTGTCTCCACAGGAGAGTCGAATTAGAGGTGGGACTTCACAGACAAAATCATCTACCTGCTGATGGGGGCAGAAGGGCAGGCACAGGGTGGATGGTGTCTGGACTAGTAACTCCACCAGCCCAATGACCCACACCACAGATGCCAGCTGCCAGCACAGGTGGGGGTGGATGATGGTGGCATAGTGGAGGGGCTGGCAGATAGCCACATAGCTATTAGAGGCCATCACTGTAAGAAGGATTCACTCAGTGGTCCCCAGGGACAGGAAGATGAAGAGCTGGACAGAGCAGCCCAGGAAGCTGATGGTTCTCTTTGGGCCCCAGAGGTCGACCAGCATCTGGGGAACACAGCTAGTGGTGAAGCAGAGATCCAAGAAGGAGAGGTGGGAGAGGAAGAAGTACATTGAAGAGTGGAGCCTGGGGTTCAGCACAGACAGCAGGATGATGAGTGTGTTGCCCACCAGGATCAAAACGTAGAAAGTCAAGACAACCACAAAGAGAATCCTTTCCTGTGCTGGGTGTTCATAGAAGCCCAGAAGGATGAAGCCCATGGGAGAACGTTGGTTAATCATGTTCTCTTTCTGTTTGTATCTGGAGAGATGAGGCTGTCACCCCAGTGTGATTCAACCTGTCTTATTAGTCGGCCTGGGTGTTTGTGAGGTTACAGCGGATGTGAGTTTCTCTTCTGTCTCTACTCTCCCAGCCTCACTTTTCCAGGGTGATCACCATCCAGCAGCTCCTTCTCATTTTCTGTTCTTCCTGGTTAAACATTGTCCCGTGAGAGTGAGGAAACCATGAATGTGCTGGACAGCAGATAGAGCCTTACACTGGTGCCTCTGACTTCCTGGGGGAGGGCAGATTTAAAATATGGATTAATTAATTAATTAATTCAGCAGAAAATTACCGAGTGCCATTATGTTCTGAGTGCTGTTCTAGAGTTGTCTCTTGCTTATTTATTGGATGATCTGGTAATGTATATTGAATAAATTTTCTGATGATAAATTGTCTCTGTAGGCTCAATGACTGCTCTGCTGGTTGAATGAATTTTATAGAACTCTGTACATTTGATTTATTTTGTATTTTTTCATTTCCAAGTGAGCTTGTCAGAGACTGTTTTATCTATGAGAGAGATTTTGTTTTGTTCTAAGATATCCTGAGATCAGGGGGGTTGGCCTGGTTTTCTTTAGCAACCCAAGTTGCCAAACCAACTGACCTGCAGGGAGGGGTGGAGACTGGCCCACATGCTTTGTCTTTGCAATGAGTAGCTTACAGGTAGGAGGTGAGTGTGGCCCCAAGCATGTTAAAATCACCAGGAGTTCACAGGAACATTATTGAAAGACTCCAAGATAATGACTCCAAGAGTCACTGTCCCTAAGTCCTATAGTCTTTCAGACACCACCAAAAACAAGAATTCAAAATTTAAAGGCTGGTAACACCAACATTCTGGGTGAATGAGAATAAAGGGTCTGTAGGATGACTGACCAATTTGATTGGATATATCAGGGAAAGCTTCCTAGAGCAAGTGACTGGATGTTTTCCTTAAAATAGAGATGTATTGGGGCATAGAAGTTCATCTGAGAGCTGAGGGTGGGAGATTGGAGCCCCTCTGGCAGGTCAGAGACAAGGACTCAGGGCCTTGCAGGACCTCAGGAAGGCCATGATGGGAGCAGATGAGACAGTGGGCTGCCTGGCAAACGTGCCATGGAGCTCATAGGATGGCAGGAGTGTCTTCCTCTTACAGGGTCCCCATCTTCTATTAAGTTCTATCACATCTCCCTTTCTGCCAGGACTCTCTGCCATTGTCTCTGTCTTCCTCCTTTTTCTCCCATTATTCTTTTCCCCTTTAAAATATATTTTTAAAATGTTTTTAAATATTTAAACATAAGTATGAGTAGGGCAAATTGCAGTTAAAGAATAAAAATGTCAACCTCTGGTATGCCTATCAACCAGTTAAGAAACTGAGCAAACGTTTCAAGTATCTTAGAAGCTCCTGTGTGCCCCTCCCTGATCTCTCACTTTCTCACCCCTCAAGATACCACCAGGTTCTAAATTTTTAATTAATTATTTCATTTTTTCAGATGTATTTCACATACCATAAAATTCACCCTTTTGAAGTGTGTAATTTAGCGGTTTAAAGTATATTCACAAGTTGTGCAAAAAACACCATTTACTTACGGAACATTTCATCACCCCAGAAGAAACCTCAGGCTCATTAGTTGCCACCTCCTGCTTTGTTTTCTTTGTAATATAAAATTATTTGCATGTACACTTAAACAATAGCTAACTGTTTCTATTCATCCATCACATAGCATCCCAACTGATTTTCTGCATTTCTAACTTTGTCATTCTCTTGGCATTTCACTCCCTTTCTTTCTCTGCTGTACTGCTGAATCTCTTTAGATTACACCTTTCTTACTGACTCTGTTTCCCTTTCCCACTTTGATCTCTGTCTTTTCCACCCTCATTATTTTTCTCCTAGTTCTTTTCCTTCTGACATATTCATTCGTTGGTTTATGCATTTATTCATTTCTTGAGCCCCAAAGTGCCAGGATTGTGCTAGGAGCTGGGGCAGGGGTTGGGAGGTCCCTGAAAGGGGTTTATGATAATCTAGTGACCATGACCTACCCTTGCTGTTAGTAGCTAACAGCTGTTGAGTGCTTCCTATGTGGCAAGCATGGTATTAAGCAGCTCCTTGAACATCTGGTTCTCACAGTAACCCTACAAAGAGATATAATTAACCCAATTTTACCAAAAAGTGAACAGTCACAGATGGGATAAGTAACTTGTATAAGGTTACTTAGCCAATAAGTGCTAGGACTAGGATTTCGGACGTTTAACTCCAAATCTGGTGCTCCAGTGTTGAAACAGGTGGAAATGGTTATCTCACAGCCAAAGAGTAAAGGTTCTACTTACCTTCAATCAAATAAAAATCTCTTCTTCTACCAGCAACCCCCATGACAGAGCTCTTAATTGCTGCCCACCCTCCATTTGTACACCAGGAAGAAACAAATAATAAAAGGAATAGGCATCCTTGAATGGGAAATTGGATCTCTGGCACAATAGGGATTGCTAGTGCTGACCATCCGGCACAGATTACACGGTAAGAACAACCCAAGATTGCAGCTCTCAGTGAATGCGCAGAGGGCAGGTCAAAGCCGCATTTCCAGATGGATCTTTGTTGCCGAGAGAATGGGGAAATTCCCAGGTGTAGGAGAGACACGGGATGCCACTGCAGCTCTTTTGGCTGGTGTGGCAACACCGGCTGGCACTGCAGTGCAGCGGCACTCCGCAAAACTCCGCATGAAATGCACTGCTCTGGTGCCCTGTTAAACCGGCAATCTGAGACTTGTGAGGGCAGATTAGCATATCCATCTGATTAAATGGGACTTGGACAGTGAGTCAGACCAGGAGATCCCTGGGAAGCAGCGTTTGAGCCAGCGCAGTGAGTCGCTGCATGGGAAATCACACAGATCCCAGTGCCCTAACAGCAGGTGACAGAAACGCTTAGGAGAGAGTCAATCATTAAACTTAAAAAAAAGGGGGGCCAGACAGGAGAATCTTGGGCAAAAAAGCACCATCAGTTTTAACGCCGCTGCTCTGGCCCTGGGAACTAACAACCTGGACATCCACTCAAGAGACCTAATCTGAAAGTTGGTAATTTCAAAGACGACAGGAGGATAAATTTACAATGATGGGAAGAAACCAGCGTAAAAAAGCTGAGAATACTCAAAGTCAGAACGCCTCTCCCTCTAAAGATGATCACAGTTGCACATCAACAATGGAACAAGACTTGATGGAGAACGAGCGCCTCCTGATGACAGAATCACTCTTCAAAGAATAGATAATAACAAACTTCAGTGAGTTAAAAGAACATGTTGTAGCCTATCGTAAAGAAACTAGGAACTTTGAAAAAAGGTTTGATGAACTCCTATTGAGAAGTGACAACTTAGAGAGGAGTATGAGTGAATTAATGGAACTGAAGAATACAATACAGGAACTCCGAGAAGTATGCACAGGTTTAAACACTCGAATTGTTCAAGCAGAAGAAGGGATATCAGAGGTCAAAGTCCAACATAATGAAATAAAACGTGCAGAAAAGATTAGAGAAAAAAGGATAAAAAGGAATGAGCAAAGTCTCCAAGAAATGTGGGACTATGTGAAAAGACCAAATTTACGTTTGATAGGTGTACCTGAATGCGACGGAGAGAATGAATCCAAGCTGGAAAATACCCTTCAGGATATTATTCAGGAAAATTTTCCTAAACTAGCAAAGCAGGTCAACATTCAACCCCAGGTAATACAGAGAACACCACAAAGATATTCCTCAAGAAGAGCAACCCCAAGGCACATAATCGTTAGATTCACCAGGGTTGAAACGAAGGAGAAAATACTAAGGGCAGCCAGAGAGAAAGGTCGTGTTACCCACAAAGGCAAGCCTATCAGACTTACAGCAGATCTCTCAGCAGAAACTCTACAAGCCAGAAGAGAGTGGGGGCCAATATTCAACATCCTCAAAGAACAGAACCTTCAGCCCAGAATTTCATATCCAGCCAAACTAAGCTTCACAACTGAAGGAAAAATAAAATCTTTTATGAACAAGCAAGAACTCAGAGATTTTATTACCACCAGGTCTGCTTTACAAGAGCTTCTGAAAGAAGCATTACGCACAGAAAGAAACAACCAGTATTAGCCTTTCTAAAAATACACCAAAAAGTAAAGAGCACCAACATAAAGAAGAATTTACACCAACAAATGGATAAAACAGCCAGTCAACATCAAATGGCAGTAACCCTAAATTTAAATTGACTAAATTCCCAATCAAAAGACACAGCCAAAACCCAACGGCATGTTACATCCAGACCTGTTTCACATGCAAGGATACACAAAGACTCAAAACAAAGGGATGGAGAAAGATTTACCAACCAAATGGAGAGCAAAAATAAATAATAAATAAATAAAAAGCAGGAGTTGCAATTCTTGTATCGGATAAAATAGATTTTAAAGCAACAAAGATATAGTGGTAAAAGGATCAATGCAACAACAAGAGCTAACAATCCTAACACCCAGATAGGAGACTTAGATTCGATGAGACAGAAAATTAATAAGGATATCAAGGACTCGAACTCAGATCCAGAACAAGTAAACTTAATAAATATTTATAGAGCTCTCCACTTCAAATACACAAAATATACATTCTTGTCAATACCACATCACACCTACCCATAAGTTTAAATGAAACATTGATTGGCCATTATTAATACCCAATTTTTTTCAAAATAAAGCAATATTTCCATTTACTCTCCCTCTTTCTCTTCCTCTTTCTTCCTCTCCTTTACATATTTTTTTTTCCTTCTCTCAAAAATAAAAAGAAATCAACATGTAAACCTCTAGATCCAGGTCGGCAATGTCTCTTTCATTGCTTGATTTCCTTTCTTCCCTTCCCTCCCTCCCTCCCTGCCTCCCTCCTTCCCTCCCTCCCCGGTTCCTCCCTTCCTTCCTTCATCCCTTCCTTCCTCTATACCATCCTTATTCCCTTCCTTCCTGCCTTCCCCCCCAAAATAAAGGCAGGACT